AGAATTGTCCGAGGAAACTTCTTTAAAGGAATCTTGCGCGGAAAAATCATGATTCTATTTCAGCCATAAATCACTGGCTTGAGACTCATTATCCACGATAATAGTGAAAAGAACTGAAGTATTGCTTTCGTTTTGATTAGAAATTCGAAAACTCGAAAAGGCTGCTACGCGTTCGAATTGCCCACGGACGTCTTTCACGAATGCTGGCGACGGGGATGCTCAAACTTGGTTCTTGGAGTGCATTCACTAGAAGCTCTTTCTGGCCTTCTGCTTCGTTGCATTCACATCTTACACTTCTACTCCATCCTATTCCATCGATCGATTTGTCTCCACTCTCCGAAATCGCGCGCTTTAACCCGATTCTCTCATTGCGTCGCCTGGTACGTAGCCGGCCAAACGCCGTCTTCTTTCCATGCCTCGCCTGGCTCTGCCTCCTGGTCCTTCGATGGTCCATAACGTGTAGTTTTTGTACGTTTGTTTCTCTTCAGAAACCGAATCTTCATGCGTGAAACTTTGTGTGCTATTTCCAGTGATCACAACTGACATATTCATGTTAGGAAAGAGTGCAAGAATTTTCCGCGCAAGATTCCTTTAAGGTCCGCAGCCGCCACGTATAGCATACATTATGGCCCTAATGCAGAACTTCGAGCTGGAGTCAGAATATGCGCTCTCAATTTCCAAATGTTTTTTGCTACTCCATAGTCGCGATCCTCTCTCAATTGCTCTTAGTAGGGCCTAGCCTCTCAAGGGAGCTCCAAGATTCAGACACAGATATTCCGACACACCGCTCTTGGGCTTTCCTGCTCCCGGGCGTAAGGCTCGGCTCAGAGCGAGATGTGCCCTTACCACCATCACAAGAAAAGTCCCTCCTTGTTGTCCCCATCTAGCTGTAAACTTCCTGTAAAGATGTCTAACTTATCAAGGGAAGATTACATACCACAATATTGTAGAGAATGACCACACCGAAACAAAACCGGTGCATATCCGTGCCTGCGATGTTGACCGAATGTGAGACGCTGAAATGATATGATTTTAACTGCGAGGGCCATAGAGGTGTAAGCTTACAAAGAAGTTACCGTCTCGCATTCGTCTGAACAAATGCGACGGAATAATGGCACTTCCGATGTCAAACGTGAGAAAGATGGAAATCAGCGTCAGCCGCACCCATCGATACGGCATTTCAGCCCAGTTCTGAAGTTTTTGAATAGAGTCAACTGCGGGGAGGAACCTTAAAGAAAATTGTTGGACTCACTATGAAAACATTCGCAGTATGAGGCTAGTGAGCAGGCAGGCGTCACACTCCGGCTGATGCCCCACCCACGTACACCTTTGGATCGAAGTGTGTACTGGAGAAGAGAGCCTAACAATGAGAGCTGGAGCTGAGGTAGGCAGAAAGGCTAGATCAAGAAGCATACCAGTCAGTACGGCCATCAAGTAAAGAGGTGCTATCCGCCATGGTTTGTGGACTACTTCTAGGGGGATTCCTATAGCAATCTGGACCACCATGTTTGCCGAGAAGATGGAGAAGCCTAAACATCAATTAGATGTTTCCGGTTATGAGGTGGTCGGAAATCTTTCGCTAACCAACCCAGCATGAAGAAGGGCGTAGGTGAGAAACCGCCAGACTTGAGCTCTTAATTTAGGGGCGAATAGTAGGGGGCCTATGTGATTGTCGACGTAGCAGCCGGCACAGAATGTGAAAATATCCTCGTTGGGCGGTATGGACTCCGTATAGTAATAGTGGAAGAATACTGCTATCTGTAAAAAAATTAGTCATTTGCGCTCAATAACATAAAAGGATAAAGGATAAAGCATTTGCCGTTGATCAATCCCTTTTTGGGATGCGGCACGCATTCTACTTCCATTTGTACATTCGTAGTGGCGTTTGAATGCGATGTGGCCTATACAATGACTTGCGGGGGCCAGCCGATGTACAAGTCAGTGTTTTTATCCTCCCAGACAAGTCTGGTACCAATTAACCGACCCCGGAGGGATGGAAGGCTTGGTTGGCCCGGGCGACTCACGACCCAGGATTTGATCCCCGGACCGCTCGCGTGGTAAGCGTGCCACTTGCCACTACACCACTTCCGCCCTAACAGTACATTACGGCAGATTAAAGAACAATTCCACGATAAGATCGAAGGTCGACGAAAGGAAAATACTCAGTGTGAAGGCAGGGGGTCCCCTAGGGCTGTGGGATGATGCTCACTTCGTAGCGAAGATTATGCTCCCAACGGCCTATTACGACCGTACCCGCGCTGCCTGCCGGTAAGTAATTTTTCGCCGCCCGACTAGTCGTTCAGCACAGGGAGCCTAAGCGTTGAAGAGGGCAATACCGAGAAAGTGGCATCAATGAGAAAATAATGGAAAAAGGAGAGACTTTCGCATGTACTGAGCCGTCTTTTCGTGAACCTCTACCTTGATTTTTATTTAGCTGCCTTTTTATCGTACACTGCGCCTTCAAGGCAACATCCCTGGTTAAGTGGAGCAATCTATTTGTGGGTAGAATAGAGTTGCCCACGATTATTAAAGCGAGAGATTACGATAAAGTCTCTGTATAACATGGAAGAACATACACCAGTTTAAGCACTAGCC